ATTACATTTCTTGCCTGACTGGGGAGCTAACCTGCAACCTTGACATATCAGGATGATGCTCTAACCAATTGACTTACCCTGCCAGAGACTTAAACTTTCTTGAATATGGAACTATATGTTTAAGTTACATGCATTTCTTTGGCATGTACCTTCATGGCTTAGATGTTCTTCTTATCAGTGATCTCTGCTTATTAGAGATTTACATTAAAAAAAAACTATTTCAAAATAATTTTAGATTTCTAGAAAATTGAAAAAGTAGTATAGACAGTTCTCATATACTCTTCATCCAGCTTTTCCTAATGTTAAGAATCCACAATGTTATCTACAACAAGGGTTTAATCTCCAACATTTACAGGGAACTCATACAACTTAACAAAAGGAAGATAAACAACCCAATCAAACAATGGGCAACGGACATAAATAGATACTTTCTGAAAGAGCACATAAGGAAGGCCAAGAGACACATGAAAACATGCTCACAGTCACTAATCATCCAAGAGGTGCAAATCAAAATGATAATGAGGTACCATCTCACTCCTGTCAGAATGGCTATCATCAATAAATGACAAGTGTTGGTGAGGATGCAGAGAAAAAGGAACCCTCTTGCACTGCTGGTGGGAATGCAGACTGGTGCAGCCATTGCAAAAAACAGTATGGAGTTTCCTAACAAAACTAAAAATGGAACTCCCATTTGACCCAGTGACCCCACTTCTAGGAATACATCTCAAGAAAACAGAAATAGCAATCAGAAAGGATATATCCACCCCTATGTTCATAGCAGCACAATTTACCATAGCTAAGATTTGGATATAGCCTAAGTGCCCATCAGCTGATGAGTGGATTAAAAAGCTGTGGTACATCTACACAATGGAATACTATGCTGCTGTAAAAAGGAAGGGACTCCTACTATTTGCAACAGCATGGATAGAACTGGAGAGTATTATGCTAAGCGAAATAAGTCAGTCAGAGAAAGATAAATATCACATGATCTCACTCTTCTGTGGAATATAATGGACAACATAAACTGATGAAAAAAGATAGATCTAGAGGCAGAGAAGCATCAATCAGACTGCCAAACCTCAGAGGGAAGACAGGGGAGGGTTGGGGGAAGAGAGAGAGATTAACCAAAGGACTTGTATGCATGCATATAAGCAAACCAATGGACACAGACACCAGAAGGGTGAGGGCATGATAGGGAGGGTGGGGGAACAAGGAGGGATAAGGGCACATATGTAATACCTTAATAAATGGAGGAAAAGAAAAAGAAATCACATAACTATAGTACATTTGTCCAAATTAAGAAATTAACATTGGTGGATTGCTATTATCTAAACTAATACTTTATTTGAATTTTATGAAATTTTCAAGTAATTTTTTTTTTTCTGTTCCAGGGTCAATCCCATATCCCACATTGATTTAGTATATTTACTTTTTTATTCCTAATGATTAAAAATGTTATTTATGTTTGATAATTTTCATTGAGAGTCTATCAATCTTTATATATTTAACTACTTTTATTTGCAAAAATCAATTTTCTTTCTGAGTTATATGCTAAAAATAATGTCCTCCATACACTTCAAAGATGAGTTTCACAATTTGAATTCTACTGAATATCAGGCTATTCTCCCCATGTCACCATCAGGGCCAAAGGAGTCTGGAAAATTGTTTAGAGACCCTTCCTTTTCTGGTTTGATCATCATAATATCTCTATTGTTCTTTTCTCCTGTCACTTTGAGGCAGTATTTTTGTTATTATTAATCCTCACCTGAGGATATTTTTTCCATTGCTTTTTAGAGAGAATAGAAGGGAGGGAGGGAGAGAAGAAGCGGGGGGAGAGAGTGAGAGAGAGAGAGAGAGAGAGAGAGAGAGGAATATCAATGTGAGTGAGACACACTGATTGGTTGTCACCTGCAAATTTCCTGACTGGGGGAGGGGATAAACCTGCAACCCAGGTAGGTGCTGTTGACCAGAATTGAACCCGGGACCCTCTGATGTATAGGGTGACATGCTAACCACTGAGAAACGCTGGTCAGGGCAATTGAGGCAGTCTTTTGATTTTGGGGGATTAGAGTGAAGCAACTGACATGCAAATATCCAGGAGACTCTTACTCTCTAGGTCGGGAGTTGGGAGTTGAGTATGTGAAGGGATGGCACCTGAAGAGTGGGGTTTTCCCTTCCCCCCCCCCATATTACATTTCCTCGTGGAAGGCAGACCTTGCAGGGATTTTCTGAGGGGAGGAGTATAAGTCCACATCTAATTGTGTATTTGTATGTGTAGCCTGCAATTTAAATTCCGTACTAAGTGCTAGGGGGGAAAAAGAGCCTATTTTAAAGCTTGTTTCAAGCTGTTAGACCTTCTGAAAAATAAATAGAATAATAAAATGTGACTTAATATCTTTCTCCTTCCAGGTTTACAGGTATTTATAAGCCACATGGCTTTCCCTGACTTGCGGAATAAATAAACTTGCGACAGCAATGGTGAAAATATTCTAAAACATTAATATTTAGAAAGAAGTAAATTATGATAACATTCTTCCTGAGAACCATTTAGGAAAACCAATGGATTTCTCTGTATTTGTGACTTATTGGGGAAAGAACAGCAATGCTCAGTAAGATAAGGTGGAATTGCTTTGTTGGTAGCATTTTTAGGGTATTAAAGAGAAACAATTTGTGGTTTTTACAGGGAGGTGGTAAGTCCTAGGAGAACTCTAACAGACACAATTAAGAGAGACCAGATTCTTGATCACAAACGTTGAAGAAGTTGGTGGTTCCTTAAGCAGCTAACTTGGATGTCCAGCAACAAGTCTGTGTAACTGGCACCTGCTTTATGGTTGCCAAGAACTCAAATCCCTAAACGGAAATGAAGACTGCAAAGTAAGGAATTCTTAGAAACCCAAAGTGTTTAGAGAGCTTTGGGAAATATTTCTTAGGTGGCCCCCTTAGCCTGTGTGACACTTAGAGACTGGTTTAAGGACTTAGTGGTAGAGATTCCAAAGAGAGAGAACCTCGAGCTGAAAGGGGTTGCCTCCACTGAAGAACTGCTTAGGAGGCAGACAAGGATTAGTCTCAATCTCAAGAAAGATGACCGCGCCAGGAGGTCTTTCTGTTCACACACGTGTAGGAAAGTGTTCCTGAGGATCTTGGCTTGGGGATCACTGGAAACAGGCAAGCCATGTGACAAGGAACTGAGTGTCAGGTAGTAGTTCCTGTGGGAGGTGACCTTAGGAAACTCAGGTAGTGGAGAGAGAAAATAAGATAAGAAAGAGCAGAAAGCTGTGAAAGGGTATGTTATCAAGCTGGTTACCACTGAGGGCATCTGGCACTGGGTCCCATTGAGGAACTTGGGGACACAGCGAAGAGCATGCCTGGAATTATTTCTGACTGAGGTGCAAGAGAAAGAGGTTTTTTAATATACTGTCTCTCCAGCAGTCATCGGGTGAGGGCTGCTTCCAGAGGCATTGACTCTTTTGCACTTCAGCTCACCCTGTGATTGGGTTCCTGCATGGAGAAGAAAAGCTGCAGGCAGAGAGCTACAGATGTGGCAATAAGAGCACCAGCTAAAAAACACCAATGGCATGTTTTACAGAACTAGAACAATAATCCAAATACTTATGTGGGACCACAAAAAGATCCTGAATAGCCACAGCAATCTTGAGAAAGGAAAACAAAGTTGGAGGAATCACGCTATCTGATAACAAACTATACTACAAGGCCATAGTAATCAAAACAGCATGATACTGGCATAAAAAACAGACATACAGATCAATGAAACAGAATGGAGAGCCCAGAATAAGCCCATGCCTATATGTTCAATTATTGTTTAACAAAGGAGGCAAGAACATACAATGGGGTAAAAACCATCTATTCAATAAATGGTGTTGGGAAAATTTGGATACATACAAAAAAAAAAAAGAGAGAAAAAAGAAACTAGACCACTTTCTTACACCACATACAAGAATAAGATCAAATTGGAGTAAAGACTTAAATGTAAGATTCAAAAATCACAAAAATCCTAGAAGAAAACATAGGAAGTAAAATCTTGGATATTTCTCTTGTTCCTCCCCTGATCCCTGAAATATCTACTGGGGCAAGGAAACAAAAGGAAAAAAAAAAAACAAATGAAATGAAATAAAACTAAAAGGTTTTTGCACAGCAAAGGAAATCATCAACAAAATGAAAAGACAATTCGTGGACACAGACAACAAACAATACAGTGATTGCCAGAGGGAAGGGAGGGGTGGTGGTGAGGAGGTAGAAGAGAGAAAAGGAGGAAATAAATGGTGATGAAAGGAGCCTTGACTTGGGGTGGTAAACACACAATACAATATACAGATGATATATTGTAGAATTGTACACCTAAAACCTATATAATTTATTAAACAGTGTCACCCCAATAAATTCAATAATAAAAGACAACCCACAAACAAACAAACAAACAAACAAAACAGAAACAGACTCATAGTTAAAGAGAACAGACTGTGATGTTTGCCAGAGGGGAGGTGGGTTGGGGAATGGGCGAAAAAGGTGAAGGGAGTGAGAAGTACTGATAGGCAGTTACAAAATAGTCATGGGATAGATAGTACAGCATAGGGAATGTAATCAATATTATTATATTTACTATTTATGGTGCCAGATGGGTACTGAAAATATCAGGGAGAACACTTTTTAAAGTATATGATTGTCTAACCACTATGCTGTCCACCTGAAAGTAAGACTGAAAATCCAGAGGGGAGGATAGGGTGTGTGTGTGTATGTGTGTGTGTGTGTGTGTGTGTAAGAGAGAGAGAGAGAGAGAGAGAGAGAGAGAGAGAGAGAGAGAGAGAGAGAGAGAGAGTGTGTGTGTGTGTGTAGGGGAAATGTGTTTCATTCTTTCTCATTGCCTGCTCAATAAATTTCTCGTGGAAGAACTTTCTGTTCCTGTTTCTGTTTCTGTTCCTGTTCAAGGGAGCAGAGTGGAAGTAGAGAGAGTAGAGGTGGGTAGCAGCTACTGAAACCCTTACGTGGATGCTGTTCATCATCGCCTCCTCCACACAGAGCTGATTCTCCTGCAAGGTCTTCCCCTGTCTCTTGCAAACATCATGTAGATTCTTGATGTCGACTTGCAGGCTCAAGAGCTTGCTGCTCAGGCTGCTCACTTCTCTGTCTCTTTCCCCCGCCTAGGCCGTCAGAAAAACAGAGACATCAATTAATCAGCCACCAAGTAAATGCTTACTTTCATTCACTTAACTGGTTGACAGAGACTTTAAATTGGCTGAAGATTTGTCCCTCTCTCCTTTGCTGTTATTACTCATTCCGTGTAACACTTACACATTCTCCATTCTTGAGGTGTCTGAGTGCTCTGCATTATTCAGACAATTACTTATTTAATTAATCTTCGCCCACTGCTATGTAGGTGCATCACAGACACTTCCCCTGTTTTGCAAGAGGAAGTCAGTGCCTAGAATAATTCCAGGCACCTCGTGGGTTGTCTATGAATATTAATGGCTCTGCCACTGATGAGATCAACATATTGAGATGTCAAATGAACTTGTCAAGACAAGTGAATCAGTGATGGAGTTGCTGTGGATTCTGAAGTCTCTGCACTCTCTTCAATCCACTAAAGCAAAAGACCTCCTTCACCTGTAAACCTAGTGCTTTTTTTTTGGACACACACCAATGGGAATAAAAGTAAAATCCCTGAGCTGATTATATAAGATCAATGCCTCTGAATATGAGAGAAAAAGATGAGTTAATTATTGCCAGGTCAGAATGGAAAGTAGTGGTTGAGATTACTAAGAGAGAGTGTGACGTATAGTAACGTCAGTGGGGTTAGGGGTGTGGAGCTGTGGTTAGAAGGTGGGTACTCCATTACACTAGGGTGTCACCTTTGACTCCCAGTGTTGGGGTGGCTGGCATCAGGGTGGAAAGACGTTAGGAAGTAGCCTTCTGTCATCCTGTGCCGTGCTTTAGCTCTGACACTGTGCAGACTGTCCATAACACTCATGAGGACAGGCACTACCTACCACCTCTGAATTTCTGATGTTGGGAATGAGGCTGGTGCTTTTATGGCGGGTACCTGGTTTATGTTAGGTTACTCAGAGTAGGCTCTTAGACAAGGACTCATGACACCTATTAAAGAACCACTCCCAAGAGGAACCAGCAGGGAAGTGGGGGAAGCAGGACCACAGGGAAGGAGAAGAAGCCAAGCAAGGGCAGGATTTCAGACAGAGTTCTGAGGGCAGTAGCTTTAGCCTGAGCCCACAGGGAACTTTGGAGTGTAAGTTACACCTGAGAGTCTGTCCTGATTCGATGCACAGAAAGCCAGGGTTGTCAGCCTCCGCATCAGCCAGTCAATGGCTAAGGGCAGCTCCCTGGGAGGAAAGTTCCCAAGGACTTCCAGTTCTGTGCTCTTGTGAGCACAGTGACCCCAATAGCCCAGGGGAAAGTCTTTCTAAGAGAGTTGCAGGTGCAGAAGCACACAGAAGCCATGGTACAAAGAAATGGAAAGTGACCCAAGCAACAAGGTCCCTTGGCTAGTTAGCAGCAGGACGAGTCTGCTCTCCTGACCCTGTAGCCAGTGCTCTGTCACCATATCTCACTGATGGCTCTGGCTTCTCTGGGGAGCTGGACACGTCATATGGACATCATAAATCAAGCCCTTCTGGACAGGTCAGTGCAAGAGACTCTGCACAAAGCTGAGGGGCCAGAGAATAACCATGAGCATCGGATACTACAATGTCAGAGTATTCGGAATTCAGAAGATTTCCCAAAAGTGCTGCTGTCTCAGCTGATTTATTTCTTCATTTCCATTTAGTACTGGATTTTTTTATTTTTTATTTATTTTTTATTTTTTACCACTTTACAGTTTAATTAGGTTAACGGTCATTAAAAGGATTTCATTATCTCAAAACTCTCCCCATTCCTCCCATCTCTTGTTTTTCACTTTCAGAAAAACAATGGTGGATGTCAAACTGCCCCAAGCATGTAATTACCAGTAAGACAATTACCAGGGACTCTCTTAAGAGAATATGTGTAGAGCAGCTAAAAAAAAAGGTAGCGTACAGACAAGGTTTTCTAACTAGAAAATAAAACCCTTGACCAGACAAGGAGCAGCAGTTTGATTCTAATGCTTTAAAATCCCTTGTGTCATGGCTGCCCTGGTGGGAACAGGAGACAGAAGCTCCTTTGGGAGTGAGACCCTAGGGATCCCCTCCTCTCCAGCTCCTATCTTTCCCTGACATCTATGAAGACCTGCTCTATGGAAGTGCACAGGCCCTGTACTCTTGCCTTGATGCTGAATATCTGCGTCTCATGGCGAGGACCTTGCCACCAGATTGTCCTATATGGAGCCTGGTGCATTGTAGACTCATTAGCGAAGCACCAACCCTGTAGAATCTCTCCATGTTAGAAGTTAAATGTCCTCTCTCTTTCAGGGCCATAAAAAATCCCCTCTTCCTCCAGTGTTGGATGCTCTCAGAGCTGAAGGCCTGCTAGCCCAATTCTGTTGTACGCCTAGGACTTAGAAATAGATCTTTAAGTGCATGAGCTCATCTAATTTGGCATTAGCATTGACTCAGAGTCTCTGAGGCAATTTCTTCATTCATAACACAAGAGTTTTGGAATAAATAATATTTCTTTGAGGAGCCCCTCAACCAGTTGAATAACAAATGTGTTTTGCAGGATGTCATATGAAATTTACTTTTGAAATCCAAATCTAACCATTCACTCCTAAAGACCCAACTGTACAGGGTTTTTATTTATCAGAACAAGAGTGGAAATACTGAGAGAGCAATAAAATGATTTCCTTGAATCATGTATTGTCTTTTACTATAGGAAATTGTAAGAAGAGGCTGTGTTCACCTCAGAACTCCAGAAAGGCAAATGTTTCTGAGCTTCCAGTAAACCTAATTTCTTGCTAATATCTTGCACAGAGGTCACTGAACACTGTTTTCTAATCCCATCTACTTTATGAAGGCTAAATTCCAGGCAGATGCCTTTTGAGTATCAGTACGTAGTAAGGGTTGATTTAATCTGACATTTCATCAATCAAAGCTCCATGACTAATACCAGTGCATGAGATGAACTGAGAGTCATAATGCTGACCCTCAGGCCCCATCCCACCCTGACCCAGACCTGAAGTCATTAATGATGACTCAAATCACAGACCTCCTCTGCTAGGTGAGTTTTCACTTAAGCCAGCACTTAGATTCCCAGTTTTGCTTCTGTAAGGTTGGAACTTGGTCACTTTGCTTGAAGGCATGTGACATTATCCAACCACAGGCAAAATGGTGAGTACTGATGCTGCATCTGCTACTATGCTTAAGATAGTTGTTAAAAAATAGCAAATTTTCACTGAAGCAAATTTTCTGATTGATTAAATGGATCTTTTTTTGAAGAGCATGCCTTCCTGAACACGTACTTCAAAAGATGGGAAGAGCCCTGGCTGGTGTGGCTCAGTGTCGACCTAGGAACCAGGAAGTCATGGTTCGAATCCCAGTCAGGGCTTGTGCCTGGCTTGTAAGCTCCATCCCCAAGGTGGAGCGTGCAGGAGGCAGCCAATCCCTCTCATTGTTGATATTTCTATCTCTCCATTCCTCTCTGAAATCAGTAAAAACATATTTTTAAAAAAAGATAGGTAGAAATTTTGCTCTAGGCTTCAAAGTATTGACAGATGGTCTCATGCTTTTTTGGGGGGGATCCTGATGTTAAACCGAAGCTTGTGATTCAGTTGCCTTCTCAATCCCAAGAGCATTAGGAGGGTGCAAGGTGACAGCATTCCCAGACATTTGGCACTTGAAAAAACAAGAAAGCTTGGGTGGAAGTTTCCAGAGTAATTTTGAGGTCAACCAACACCACCATAAAGCTCATTAGCTTTGGGAAATTATCTTCTTTGAAGATAATGCAAAATTTCAATAACAAAAAGCCATTTTAATCACCATTCCATTCAACATATATAAGTTTATAGTGAGAGTTATGTTTTTAAAAAACCATGAAACAGCCGAAACTGCGTTGCTCAGTGGATAGAACATTGGCCTGCAGACTGAGAGGTCCCAGGTTCAATTCTGGTCAAGGGCATGTACTTTGGTTGCCGGCACATCCCCAGTAGGAGGTGTGCAAGAGGCAGCTGATCGATGACTCTCTCTCATCGATGTTTCTAACTCTCTGTCCCTCTCTCTTCCTCTCTGTAAAAAATCAGTAAAATATATTTTAAAAAAACAAAACAAAAACAAATAAACAAACAAACAAAAACCCATGAAACATTGCTTCAGGAATTTTTACATTTTCCTTGTATAGCAACAGAATTTACAGTTACCCACAGGAATTTCAAACACTGTTAGTGTTACTCCTAACTTGCTTCCTGAGTTTACTTTTCCATCTATAGAAACATTGCAGTTTTTGATGACTGATGAGAATTAATGGGCACTTATCCAAGATTTTGTCTGGGAGCAAAAACTTTGGAATCTATATTATGCTCATATAGTGAAGGATGAGTGTATATTTTATTGTAATCTAAATTCTTTAAACATTGGCTCACTGCATAAAAGTATACAGTTCAGTATACATATGGCATATGGCAGAGGTCAGCCACTTATGGAATATGGGGCAACTTTTACTGGCACTTGGGCAATTGCCACATACTCTTCTCCATCATCTCCTTGGAGAAGTTATCTCCCTGGGAAGTAAGCTCCACGAGGACAGGGATCTTTTTCTGTGTTGTTCACTGCTTCGTCCCCGACCCCTAGGACAATGCCTGGCACACTGAAGGTGCTCCAAAGATATCAGCTGAATGAAGGAATGCCCTTCTAGAAAATCCGTACCAGATCCTTGTTCCGGCAGAGCTCGCAGCAGATCCTGTACGGCTATCCTCTAGTAATCCAGCAGGAAAGGAGCTGAAACACCGCTTTTAGAAGCTGCTCACCTCTTGGTAGGAGGTCTGTTAAAAAGCATATGTCATGTGGGACAACCCTATACTAGTCAGAACATATCCCTTAAATCCTTTCTGGAACAAGTCAGGGAATACATAAACACAGTTTGACCAAAATATTAGAATAATCAGAACACTCCACTTCCATATCATTCTAGATAAAGAGAGAATGTTGGTGACAATAGTTAATATTTTAAGAGCTTTCTCTGTCCCAAGCACTAGTGTTTTATTATACAAGCAGTATTTTACTTAATCCTTAGAGCAAGCCTCTGAAATAGGTGCTCATTCTTTGTATATTTTTAAAAATGTTATTTTTATTGATTTCAGGGAGAAAGGGAGAGGGAGATAGAGATAGAGAGATAGAGATAGATAGATAGATAGATAGATAGATAGATAGATAGATAGGGAGAGAGGTAAAGGTCAATGATGAGAAAGAATTATTGACTGGTTGCCTTCTGTATGCCTCCCAGTGGGGATCCAGCCTGCAACCCAGGCATGTGCCCCAACTGGGAATCGAACCATGATCTCCTGGTTATGGTTATTGATTCTTATGAGTCAATGCCCAAACACTGAGCCACATCGGTCAGGCTCTTCATATTTTTTAGGAAAGGCAAAGGAAGTTCTGAGAGGGTATGCAGCATGCCCAATACCATATTGCAATTAGATGTGCACTCAGACCCACCTACCTCAAGACTGGACTCTTAAATGCTATGCCCTACTGCCCAACCCTAGCTGATATATTTCTGGATGCTTATTACTGGCATTTTGAATTATGAACCTTGAAAAGAAGTTCCTTGTAACAAAGGTTCAACTTCATGTATGTATAGGAGTTATAAGCCTTACCTCATCTTTCATTTCCTTGGTACATCTCAATTCTTCTTTAAGTTTTAACATTTTCTGAGCTTTGTTATAAACCTGGAAAAGCATAAAATTTTAAGAAGGAAAAAGTATAAATGAGTCCAGTCCTTTAAATACTTTCCCATCTGGATATTTGCTCTCAGCAGGGAGTTCAGAAAAAAATTTCCCAAACTGTTAGCAATACTTACTTGTCTACCCATCTGTTTGTGTTTCCAAAAGTTAAATCCTCCATCAGGAAGATGATCATGGTTTTACATCTTTTCCAAAAAACTATCACTAAATAGTTTCTAAATTTATCCTTCCTGGAAAGCAGAAGTTCTGAAATGATTTTACTTCCTGGATTTCTAAGTACTGTGTGGCTCAAACATAGGTAACATTATGCATTAATTAAAATCATAATGTGCACAACCCAACTTAATTCTCATGATAACCCTGGGAAGTAGCTACTATTACTACCTTTATTTTACAGAGGCGGAAACTGAAGTCCAGAGAGGCGAAGTGACTTATCCAGGATCACACAGGCTCTTTTACTACTCCATGAAGAACTAGTCTATAACTATTAATTTGGAAATATCTTATGATGTGATTTTAGCAGCAAGTTGCTGTAACATTTGTGCTTGTAAAGTTAGGAAATATAAAGTGCTTTGAATGTCTAGATCAATAGCCTCAGAGAAAGCCAAAGATTTTTGCACATGTATGGGTGTAAGGACAGGATGATGCATTTGAGGTCATAATGCAATGAGCTTAATAAAATAATTGAATTCATTCTGTTTTTAACTCTAAGACTAGAAGATATTTCCTTCAGGCACTTACCTGCAGAATAGTTCCAAGAATGAGAAGCTATCAAAATACTCATTCTTTGGAATGAACCACATTCCCCTCCCCTAATATAAGTCAAGAGGAAGAAAGAATGCTGGTGAGACATGGAATTTGGAATGTTTTATGGGGTTGTATTCTGACGGGCTGTACTGTTTATCCTCTTATGTCTTCATGCATAGAGATGCATCATGGGAATGGTGATGTAGCTCAAGCTTACCCAGCAGGGAGAGGCTAGTGATGCTGCAGTAACAACTCCAAAATCTCAGTGGCTTAAAACCATGCAGGTTTATTTTTCATTCATGCTACATGTCCTTTATGAGTCAGCTGGGGTTCTGCTCTTCATTGTCCTCAGCTGGTAGAACCTTTATCATTTAGTATGTTGCCATGGCAGCAGAAAGGGAACTTGGTGAATCACATATTCTTAAAGTGGAAGTGACACATTTCACTTCTGTTCCCATTTCTTTGGTCAAAACAGGTCACGTGGCCATGCCTAACTTCTTCCTTTATTCCCCAAAGGAAATATTAGTGAACATAACAAATGACTAGGTCTTTTAGGTGACTGGGTTGCTATAACAAAATATCACAGCCTTATAAACAACAGAAGTTTCTTTCTCATTGTTTTGAAGTTTGAGAAGTCCAAGATCAAGCCACTGGCAGAATTGATGTCTGGTGAGGCTCTGGCTGGGTGGCTCAGTTGGTTGGAGCATCATACAAGGTCAGAGCACATACATACCTAGTTTGCGGGTTTGATCCTCAGTTGGGGCGAGTTCGGGAGGCAACATATTAATGTTTCTCACATGGGTATCTCTTTCTCTCTCTACCCACTTTCTTTCTATAAAATCAGTGAAAACATATCTGAAGATAGAAAAGGAAGAAGAGAAAGAAAAAAAAAAAGAAAAGGGAAGGGAAGGAAAAGAAAGTGAAGGAGAGAAAAGGAGAAGAGAGGAGGAGTGAAGGGGAGGGGAGGGGAGGAGAAAAGAGGAAAGGAAATAGTAATTGATGTCTGGTGAAGTCCCAATTCTGCGATGGTTGTTTTTGTTGTTGTTGTTGTTAATCCTCATCAGAGGATATTTTTTTCCATTAATTTTTAGAGATAGTGGAAGGGAGGGAGGGAGTAAAAGAGAAACATTGATGTGAGAGAGAGATATCAATTGGTTTCTTCCCCCACACACCTGACCTGGGCCAGGGATGGAACCTGCAACATAGGTAAGTGCCCTTGACTGGGAATTGAATCTGTGACACTCTAACCACTGCGATACATTGAACAGAGATTTTTTCTTTCTTCTATAACTTCACATGGTGTTAGGGACAAGGAAGCTCTGTGAGGTTTGTTTTTAAGGGCACTAATCTCATTCATGCAGGACCCACCCTCATGACCTAAACACTTTCCAAAGGCTTCCCCTTCAACTTGGGGGTTAAGGTTTCAACACATGAATTTTAGGGGACACACAAATATTTAATCCACAGCACTAGGAAAATGAGGAGATCAAAAATAGTGTGGCATGAAAGAACACTAAACAGGGCTCCTGGCCACCAAGCTTCTAAACCTGGTTTAGCATCTGATTAAAAAATGTACTGATCTCTCTGAGTCTCTGTGTGTGGCTCTGCAAACTGTGGGACTGTACTAAATGACTGTTAATTCTTTCCTAGCTCTAAGGTTTACTGATTCAATGTTCTATCCTGACAGACATCTTTCTTACTAAAGAACCATGAATTCAGCCTAAGCATCACACAACATTGGAAAAAAACAAATATATCCTTGAGAATAGTATTTTTCTCCGGGCAGATCTACTGGATAGTCAGGAGATGTTCCTTAGATTAAATGCAATCTTGTCCAAATTGTGACTGTTTTATCTACCGCGGAGTTTCACAGCTATAGTTGCAAGGGCCAAGGGTATTTGGAAGGAAAAGCAGAAGGTACAGGCTCTCATATTTGCATGGAAATATATTGGACTTCCCTAAGTAAAATAAGTCAGAGGAAAAAGAGAGAGTTAAATTGTGTTCCATGAGAGAGACCTGGGAAATCCTGTGAGTCATTAACAACAGCAGTGGGCAATTTGGAAGTGCTTATGATGAAATAAAATGGAAGGGTTATATGATAAATTTTCGAAGCATTTGACAGTAATGTTTGCCAGATGGATAAGGAAGAGTGCGTTGAGGGAGCCTCAAATGCTTTATAAAATGATCACGTGAAACTTTACAGCGTTCTGTGAGGAGTGTGACGGGGCAAATATTTTGTACAGAAGAGAACTCATCACAGAGAGAGGAGTTCCCTACCTGATTTCTGGGCCTTGAATGTCTTTTCTCTCCTCAAACCCTTATTCTACATCTTCTGTGCTGTGGTCTCCTGCATTTTTATTGAAACCTTAACTTCCTCGTGTCCCTTTTCCTCCATCAGCATCTTCAATTCTGCTGCCATTGCCCAGGGAACTGCTTTCTTGTATCCCAAAGTTCCGCTGTTTGCTTTTCCAGTATGCCTTCCCTTGGTGACAGCTGTGTCCAGAAAAGAAATTTTTGTAAAAATAAAATCTTGGTCAGAGCATCTAAGTTGACCTCAGTCCACATTCAGGGCACCTTATAGATTACCAAGAAACAGTAACACTGCACCTCACATGGGTAACTGGTGTAGCAGTTTAAAAACTCAGTGTGCAAAGGAAATGTTTCTATTTTTCTATTACTCTTTAATGAGCCCCATTTCAGAATCTTAGTTATCTCTGAAAAAGTGACATTTTAAGGTGAAAAAGGAATAATTTTAAGGTTAAAAATGATTCCCTTCTCCTCTTCAAGGTTTTCCAGAGTGTAAGTTCTGGGTTCCTAGGTCGGATCCTGGCATCACGGTGACTTCTGGCCCATGGCCATGGGCATCTCTCCCAGGTGAAGTGTGTTAAGATGTCTGTGTCTTGGTCAACAGGCCACAAGTACGGTATCTTCCTCAGACTGCGGGCTCTGGATCTGCTGGCCCTCTTTTGTCCTTCAAGGATGATCCTAATGCAGAAAGACAGAGATACACACCTGTGAGATGGGTCTCAAGCCTTTTCTTCTTAGAGCTTCCCTGCTATCATTCTATGTTTTGCCTGGAAAGATGTTACGAAGGGGATAGAATCCAAAGATGTTGCTCACTTTTCTGCTCCTCATTCTTGGTATTGATCAAAAGTCCCTTCTGCCTCTAAATTGCTAAACCAATCGGAGGTTCTGTTGTGTTCTCCACTTTCGCCCATGTCTTCGAAATCAGAGTCTAATCCTCTTGCAGATGTTCAAATTCTCTGCTTCTTCTTTCTTAGAGAGTCTTTGTTTAGTTTTGGGGAGAGGAAGAAAAAAGGGTACAAGTGAACAAGTTCAATGAAATTCAGGTTGAGCGGGCAGGATGGGAAACACATGTTAGTACTTCATGCACCATCGGCCCACATTAGATTACACACAGGCCCTAATCACAGGCTGCTGCTGCTGCCTCTCCCCAAGGAATTGGTCACTGCCTGGGGACACAGATGGCCTACTGGTCTTGGAGCAACACTGTTATTTTTCCTTCATCACCTGGATGGAAGAATACCAAGGATCACTTTTTTTCATCTAAATTTTTCCCCCCCTAGGTTTTCATGGGAAGAGATGCCATTCAGTTTAAAGTTAAAGCTATCCTTGGGGGTGAATAAAAATAAACAGATTTACTTACACGGAGTCCTAAATCTTTTCTTTAGTCTTACTGAGTTTTAGATTTTTCTCCAATGTACTATCTCCTTCCAATGAAAAAGTTTGATGAATCCTAGTTTTTTTTTTTTTTATTATTGAAATAGTGAAAGGATGTTCAGTGTTTTCCATATTTTAAAACAATATGTGAACACCATGAGTGAATATGGATGCTTCTTCCTTAATAAATAATTTTTACCCAGAATGCATGGATGAAGGCATAGATAATGTACAGAGGTCTGGCATGAAGAGAGTCTATCTCTTTGAATCCAAACCCAGTTCTACAAGAGAAAAATCCCTGATCATGTAGGGCATATCTACTGGGGGAAGACAGAAAGAGATGATGCTGGAGATGGTTTTTTCAGGGTCTGGGAATTCTGCACCATAATTTAGTGAACAATAACCTGATACCAAGATCACTATCAGGTCATAGTCCAAATTCAGGACAGAGGCTCTTCAGGAGAGGAAGTAGGGCTGATCAGTCTTTGTAGGAGTTT